AATTTACTTTTTCAGGTGGACAAATGAAACTCCAAAAAAATATGCTCCATTATATTTGATGAGATGTCATTAGAAACAGCACTTCGTATAATAAAAGTAATAAGGATTAAAGATAACATTAATGGATTTGTAGAACACCAAGAAAAGAAAGTGGATTTTGCAGATCATACTCTTGTATTTATGTTGGTGCTGTTTACAAGTGGCAACAGCCTTTATGTTACTATTTCTGTCAAGGAGCTACATCTACTGTAAACATCAAGAATATTTTAAAGTCAGTAGTAGAAAAAGTTGTTGAATTGGACCTTAATCTCATCGCAATAATATATGACCAAGGCTCAGCTTTCCAATCAGCACTCAAAAATCTAAAAGAAGACACTATGTGTGATCAAATTTTAAAATGAAATCACAGGTTGGTACAGAGAATTATATTTATATGAAAGAAAACTAATAGATTTAATGAAAGCAGTGAAGGTTCTTATTATTATATTGTTATCTATGTTTTAAGAAGTTCTTAAATTTTTGTTTCAGTTGCCATTCTTAAAATATGTGGGGTGAATTTAAACATTATGATTCTACACACTTGATAAAATGTATCAGGAACAATTTTTCAACAAAAAATTTAATATTAGATGGTAAACTTGCAAAATGGCATGATATTATTTAAGTCTATGAGAGAGACTGTCAACACACTGAAGCTGGGCTACGTCATAAATTAAATGACCTATGAGTTATACCTGATAAAATTAAAAGATGAAGGTAATGCAAATAAAAGAAATAATTTGTATTCAGCTTCTATATCCTATATAGAGCAAGTGTTGATTCAATGACCTGTATTTTTAATTATGTTACCAGTAGTTAATATGGTTTACACTTAAATTACAATAATGATTCTCTAATGAAGATAGTTTTAAATATGATATCTCTTTTTGTAGGTAAAAAATTGTGTAAAAATATTGAGCCATTATGTCTGCAGCTTTGTCTTGCACTGCAAATTTCTGTGAGTATTAGATGAAATTTATTAACAGTCAATAGTTTTAAATCAAGTTTCATACAATTATTATATGAATATTTTAATTTGCAGCAACTTATGTGGATGGCAGACCCGTCAGCACAACATTAAGAAATACAGCTGAAGTTGTTTCATTCTTTGACCAATTATTTGATAGTGTCAATGGAGCATCGATAAACAAAAAAACCTTAAAGGAAAGAGCTGTGACAGATAAGACACACCATCATTCTTTCTGGCCAAAGGCAATTGAAATTTTAGAAAAACTTAAATATGTGTATAAAAAGGTATGCAAAAATCAGTGCCCTCTTTAAAAAAAATTGTGATTATCTTGAAAAGTTTCGTAAGGTTGTGCCACTAAAAAACGTAACTAGGAATTGCCGAGAATGCAGAAGAAAGCTGTGAAAAATATAATAAGTTAAAAATAAATGATTCAATAAATAATATTGGAAAAATGTGTGTTTCATTTACGTGTTCGTTTTGCCTTTTTTGTTTTAATACAACAATAATAATAAGCTAGACTTATCAGTCTGCTTTATTATTATTGTTGTATTAAAATTAAAGTAAAAATAATATGGAAAATAGGAAGACGGCTAGGTACCTACCCAAAAAAGGGCTGTATAGCCAAATGCCTTTGCCGATAGTAGATCTTAATATTTAAAACGAATGAATCTGTCATGTATCACTGGCTCCCAATCCATAGACATAAAAGAAGAGGACCGGCCATACCTACGAAAAAAGCGTATATGCCTAAACTTCAAATGCAAATTCTTCGATGGCGGATTGTCATAGGGCGTGACCCAAGATATCGATATTTGTATCGACATTGAAGTCATATTAAATAAAAGTTAGTATTTCGTGAAACTGCTACAATACTACTACTTATTAAATAATATAATATAATTTTCATTGTTAGGGGCATGGCTAAACTATTACCTATTACACTTCTATTCATTTCACACTTACGTACCAATCCTATTTATGATTATTATTAATTAAATTGAAAAATTCACGCCAGTATCAAGAAAATAATATTTTTTTAAAAGTGGCGTGAATTTATCAATTATTTATAAATCATTAAGCAATCTTTTGCTCGTATTTTGTTGGACATCTAAAATTTCTTGCGTTCTTTGTTCTTGCGACTCCGTTGCGTCACTATAGTAAATATAACATATGTTACCAGCGTATGATGGCGCTTCCCACGGGTAAAAGATTATTCGTATTCCAAATTTCATCAAAATCCGTTCAGTAGTTTTTACATGAGAGTAACCAACATCCATCCTCACAAACTTTCACATTTATATTATTTAATAATATAATTTTATAATATGATTGTACCTCGATAAATATGTTTCTTTTTCCTCTAATATAGCCAATTTTACATAGTTTTAAGAACTATAGTACCAAAATATATATCTTAAAAGTTTTACAATAATATCAATCGTGTTTTATAATTATTTCCATATATATTGTCAAGTTGACATTTTGCAATTATAATTAAATAGTTTTTTTTAACATAAGTTTAATTTTGCATCCACGGGAAGTGTGACTACTGTCCAAGATAACTACCACGGTAACTACAATAAGCTTTTAATGAGTCGATTGACGAATGAATTATTATGCTTATTTTTGTCTGTTATATATTTTTTATTGTTTTGGTGGAAAGTGACATTTTGGTCCAATGAAGTCATTTTTTATTTTTCAGTACGAAATTAAACAGGGTGCAAAAGCAGCCCTTGCAGTTTCTTACCGGTTCCTTTCTTACAGTTTCTTCTTTTCTCGGTACAAGGTTTCCCGTAATAGATTTCTGAACTATAAGCACAGAGTTTCGACTTTCTTATATGCTTGTAACTAGTAAGCCAACTTGTCTATTTTATTCAATAAATTGTTTTGACTGAATAAATTTCGCTTCCTCCTCATTAAGTGAGATACCGTGCGTACTGTGTCACAATTTTAGTTCAGAACATCTTGTTTAGTAGTAAACATAGAAAACTTGAACCACCTACATAATCTTTGTATTATATTATTGGTAAAAGAACATAAAAATACTGTAAACTTTGATGAATAAACAAGAGAAAATAAAGAAAACAAAGTTGGTGATGAATAAGTAACAATTGGCATAACAGTAACATTATTAAAGAAGTAACAATTGGCATTTTATTTAAAAATTTGGTTAGCAAGAAGAAAACAGCCGATTAATCAATAGGCAAGCATACAAATATTTTCTCAGCACTAAAACAGTCTGCAATTCATGTTCTGTGAACAATCATGATAACGGTCAGCAATTAAAATTCAAAAAGGTAGCGTATTTTATGATGCATCAGCAAAATAAACATCCACGCCGCAAAATAATTATTTGGGTATTAAGATTATACTATTGAACAGCAAAGAAAACCTTTAACTATGCCTTTAATTTGATAAGTGTGCATATTTTAATTTTTATTAAAATTATTTAACTCATTTTATTGTATATTTTACTGGGAGTATATTATGATCAGAATTTTATATTTTAATATTATTATATATTGCATTCTGATTTTTTTCAATTAAAATAGTCGTCATATGACCGCAAGACTAAAAATAAGGTACATTTATAGAATAACAAAATGACTATATAAAAAACTAAATAAATAAATCAGTAAAATCAAATGAAAATTTACTAAGTGTAATAGACATTTTTTTTTAAATAAGTTAAAAGCAATTGTCAAAAATTCTTACCAGAGTATTTGATTGGCAATGCATCATCTCGTAATTTTATTATATTTAAAGTTCGATTCAAACAACTTTCCCTAAAATGAAGTGAGCAGATAAAAGTAACTTTTTCATTACATTTAATATTTTCTGCTTCTATGTAACTCGGCCATTTTCCTCTTTTGTTTCATCTTTTGGTAATCTAAAATAATTAATATATTTTTAAATATTAAAATTATCGATATAAACCATATGTTAAAGTAACGACACTAGCCATGTAAACAATATTATTTACGGACCGAAATATTATAAAAATATAAACGAAAAGAGCAATATAGCATAAATAGAACACGCCAAAATACGATATGTATCGATTTATACACGCAATCATTTTCAGAATAACTTACTTACGTTTTAAATACTGTTATTCCAAGAAAGTGTTTAACTTACCGGTGAAACGTAATATTGCTCGGTTTGCGGGATATTGATGACGCACAACCAATTATACAGCACCTAGGCATTGTTTTGCATAAATAATTTACAATTTTCTACCATGAAAGTTATATAACTTAAAGTTATAAATGAAAATAACCACAAAACTTATAACACTGACAGCTGAACTACTTCCGAGAATACGCACAGCAAATTTGCAAATGGCTGACAGGTGGTACGATAGCTATATCTCATGACGTCACGTAAAAAATTTTGAACTGTCACACTAGTGTTATCTTTGTTTACTAAAGAAACTTCTTATTAGTTAAAAAAAGACAACATGATGTTTTTGATGTCAACTTCAGATTGCATGATATTTATATAACCATAGAAAATATTTCCACTCTACCTTACTCTATGTCCCAATCACGTTCTACGAAGAAATTTTTTGTTAGGAAGTTGGTCGTCTGATACCTACTAAGTCTGTGGCAGTGTTGTCAGCTTAGTGGATTTTCCACTAAAACTGGTGGTTTTAATCCTTCATTTAGTGGCGAAATAATGGTTTTAGTGGCTGGTGGATTTTTCTAGTGGCTTATAAAAATTTAGTTTCCATTACTTTAACTGCGATCACTCATCCGCTAAGTTACTTTCATATTTCAAGTTATATTATTTGATCTCGTGTTTTAAATTTTAAATGGTATTTACGTTCATATACAGGCAACACTTATCCACTAAAAAGACGATGTTTCTTTGTAGGCGGGGATTCCCCGTACATTATTTTTCAGTGAACTCATTCATTGAAATGCTTCGTGCAGCTCAGTAAGTTGTCATGTTTTTTGTGTTATCATCACGAATTTATTCATACGCAACTATGCCGAAACCACAATATAAGCAACAATTTCGGGATTCTTGGCTTCAAGACCCACATTTAAAAGATTGGCTACAAGCTATTGAAAGTACCACGGGTCGAGTAGCAAAATGTAAATTTTGTGGTACAACTTTAAGGAGTCACTACGGAGACTTAAAGACTCATGGGATGTCAAAGAAGCATCTACAAAATAAGAAGGTAAACAACCGCTTTTATTGATTACTCATTCATATGTCGGTTTTCACCTGACTACGAAAGAAGGGTTTTACATTTAAAAAATAAATAAATAAATAAATAAATATTTATCAACATCACATACATTGCTCAGATTCCAAGATGAGTAAGCTAAAGCCCCCGTATTATGGAGTATCTGAGACAACGAAGGTACAACACCCAGACCCGAGTCAATATAGAAAAGTTCATTTTCTACATTGACCCGACCGGGAATCGAACCCGGGACCTCAGAGATGGCGACACCTTGAAACCGGCGTGCGAACCACTCGGCTACGGAGGTCGTCAATTTAAAAATTTAAAAAAGAATAAAACTAACCTAATTATTAATTACTAATTTAATGCTTTGGATTTTGTTTCGTGTATTCAGGTTTTACTGTTTATGGTTTTATTTTGATTTCTTTTTAACAAATAAATTGTTTCAGCTTATAATTACTCAGCCCAAAATCCCATTCAAGACAGAGCCCATTGAAAGTAAAAAAAAGGATGAAGCCAGACTCGCACTATTCACCACCATGCATACTAGCATACGTGTCATAGACCATTTAGGAGAGGTTATTAATCACAGTCATGAAAAAGATATTAAAAAAGTTCAACTGCACCGAACTAAATGCGCCTCGATTATAAAAAATGTGTTAGCATTACATTTCACTGAGGTCCTCAAACAAGATCTTAAAGATCAACCATTTAGCTTATTAATTGATGAATCCACAGATATTGCTGTGCAGAAATACTTAGGTTTAATTGTAATTTATTTTAGTGAATTATACCAAAAATTCGTTTCCACGTATCTACCTATCTACTCACCTTGCTGAACTGCATGAGTTTAATCCTGAAGGTATTGTTTCTGCTATAAAGAAGACGCTAAAACGATTCGATCTCCGATTGGAAAATTTAATGGGACTTGGTACAGATAACGCTTCTGTGATGGTTGGAGTAAATAATGGAGTCTATATCAAATTGAAGGAAGAGATACCACATCTGATTTTGGTGCGTTGCTTGTGTCATTCCTTGCAATTGGCTGTTTCTGCTGCAGCAAAAGAATTTTTGCCGAGAAATTTGGAATTTATAATTAGAGAGACATATGATTGGTTTAGCCGCTCGACATCCAGACAGTTGCTGTATAAAGAATTATACAAAACCATTAACGACGGTCAGAAACCGTTAAAAATTGTTCAAGCATGCCAAACGAGGTGGTTGTCAATTGAATCTGCTGTATCAAGAGTATACACGCAATGGCTCGAGTTAAAAACTCATTTTGCAATAGCTAAGGTGCACGAAAGATGTCACACGGCCAAGTTATTGCACTCTTTATATGCGAATGAGATGAACTACGCATATATTTCTTTTTTATATCCAATATTAATTGAGATAAACAGAGTTAATAAAATGTTCGAGTCAAAAGATACGGACCATATCAAATTGTATGAAAAGTTAACTAACCTGATAGATATGCTTGTCTGCAAGGTAACATTACCTACAAATAAAGTTAATATTTTTAATCAAAATATTCGTGGTTTTTTGGATCAAAAATGTTATCTTGGATTCAGATTTGAAAAACAAATAATTGAAATGAGAGAAAAAGGGTTACCAAGGGAAGACGAAGAAATGATGCGGCATCGGTGCATAACATTTATAGTCAGTCTAATTGAAGAAATAAAGAATAGGTTACCAGAAAATTTGACACTAATGAAAAACATTTCCCGAATAAGTGTTGAACAAGCACTTAATCACAATAAAGAAGCACTAATTGACATAATGGCTCAGTTCAATAAAAGTGCAGAACATATAGCGAGAGTCGATGATCAGTGGCATCAAATTCATTTATTAAAATGGAATGAAACTAGAAACACAAGAAAGTTTTGGATGGAAGTATTGCAATTCAAAGACACTCAAGGAGAACCGAGGTTTAAGGAATTGGCGACTTTTGCGATTACTCTCCTAATACTACCTCATTCTAATGCCGATGTTGAGAGACTATTTAGCAGCATGAATGTAATAAAGAACAAGGAGAGAAATAGAATGAAGTTAAATCTTTTATCTGCTATTTTGAGAATACGTTGTTGTTTGAGGTTGGAAGAAAAATGCTGCAATGATTATAAAATTCCAGAAGCCGTTGTCAAACAAATCGGTACCAAAGAATCATATCAATCTGAAATGGAAGATTATGGTGCAAGCAAAAATGATTCGTCTGAAGAAGACGAATTAATTTAGAATAGTTATTATTGAATAAATTGTGTTGGTTTACTATATTTTGTTTACTGATTGTTAATTTTTGTGGCGTAATAATAAAGGAAACTAATATTATAGACACTTATTATTTTCTTTCATAAAACAAATTTCTCTTAGCGAAAAATTTAGCGAGTATGAATGTAGTGACATATTTGTTAGTGGTTTTCTGGTGGTTTTTAAAGTAGAATCTAGTGGAGAGCTAATTCAACTGTTGGCAACACTGGTCTGTGGTCTGTGATAAGAAATAAGTGATGAACTTTGGAAAAAAGAAAGTATTTTTCATTATTTATATTTAGTGTAAGTAATAATAATACATATTTATTAATTTATTCTACACTGGAAACAAACACGTAATCCTAAATCTAGTAAACCCACTAGTCTCTTTTTGGCAATGAGTTTATTATCATTAGTTATTTATGCAAATTCTTTTGTACCGCTGTCTAATATAAAAACATTTTAAAATATTCCACGTACATAATCAAAGATATACAATTATACTCCTGTTTACAAAAACATAATAAGTTTGTTAATGTTATCATAGTTATATTTTAAAACCAATGTTTATAACGCAGTCTTTACAGGATAATACCTAAATATAGTCTAAGTTTAATGTGTAACAGAATTACTACCTTTGTAGACATGCGCCTAACATGTCGTGGAATGGAGTGAACATGGAACGTTTTTGTTGTCATACCAGACATGGTTCTGTTATCATGTCCATGATCCTTATACAGGTCGAGGGTAGATGTAGTTCCGGGCCTATGTAATGTTCATATGTATTACACGATATGCTGCTCTATTTTTACTTCTTCTTTTAATAATGGCTTATCTGCATGTTTCGCAAGATTCTGCCAATGTCAAGTGATTATATTAGTAAAAAAATATTTCTACATGTGAACTGAAAATGAGATGAATGAAAGATTGTGATTCCTTTCCTTATTTTAAAACCTTTCTCTTATTTTGGATCTATTTTTACTTTAAATGATATATAATTTGAATGACATTGAGTGTAATTTTATACCTTTCATTTTGAGATGTCACTAAATCTAACAATTTTATTTACCATACATACTCCTCTGAAATGGCTTCACCAATTTTAATGATATTTTATATGTATATTAATTAGATCTGAGAATAGGTTGTTATCTGCTTTTTGGTACCTCTAATTGATAAGGGTGGTCCACCCCAATTTTATATGGCATAATAATGTATGCCGGGTCAGCTGAGTATAAAAATAAAATAATTAAAAAAGCTATATGTGTAAATTTTCGACAAAATTATGAATTCATGAACTGCTTATAGCATACAAAAATTTATTATCATATTCTATTAGGTATGAAACAGATGGATAGTTTTACAGAGCAAAATATGAACACTGTAGACTGGATGATCCAAATATCATTTGTTTTAATCAAAATTATTTAATTATTTCTAATCATAAACACAGGTGTCAAAATTAAGTTAAAAGAATAATCCATATATTAATGGATTATCAATTTTAGTGCATAAATCTGAAATCACATTATCTTATCCATACAGGAAGCACATTTGTTTTATTATTGTTCACTGCTCTCTCATACTCCTATGAACATGTCCTATGGCTATGCGGAAATGTGAACTTGGTTATATAGACATTTCGGATTGGAACTATTAGGGTCCGGAACTACTCATGTCTATATCACTGGCTCTCTGTCACTCGTAGCAAATTTATAATATCTCATTTAAAAATTCAAACCTTTAGCTGTTTGAACATTAGTAAAATTAACTTAAAAGTAGTTGTTGAATTGCATATAAGGAGGATTTCCGAATTTCTTATTAATTTCAAATCTTTTTAACAAGGATTAGCCCTAGTACCAAATTAGTCAGTTGGACGCTTATTAAGTTTGACATCTTTGCTTTTCTGTCTGTTGGGCAATATCAGCAAATTGATTGAAATTGGGGATTTTATTATGGTAATGTTACTTACCAAAAAAAAAGTATTCAGGTACAAAAAAAATCCTGCAAAAAAAATAGTGGGGCTGAAAATGGGGTATTACCATATTCATACTATGATGTCTCATCCTTTGCATTATATTTCAATTTATTTTATTTTAAATTCCTTTTTCATCTCATCAATATTCCTATCTCATCCTATTTTAAACTCACCTAAAATTATAAGGTTTCTGTGTACAGTCCGAATAAAAATATTCCTGTCCTTTATTTTATTAGCTAAAAAATAGGAAATCTGATAAAAATATGTATCAATCATGTGTAATAAATTTGGAATTTACAATACTTTATTGATTTTTTAAATAATGTCTTTATTAGTGAATTTTATGGAAAGAAAAAATAAATAAATATGTTTTAACAAACAATGATATTGTAGACGACAGCAACGTATGCCGCCTCCGTTGTTAATTTATTTTTCTTTGAATTTTGACCCTTTTTTAAATAACAACGGAGGCCGATAAAATTTATCTGTCACATTAAACATTTTGTAAAAGATACTCCTGTTTTTATATTTTAATGCAAGTATTAGCAAGATTTCCACCTTCCGTCGTTTATAGATATACTTTATTTACATTTAACATGTCATGACGTCGGACACTTACCTAATTACTATGCAAACAAAAAGCGATTTTGTCACATAACATTAAGGTTGATCTTACGAATTAGAATAGATACACTCACACTAAGATAGAACGCGTCCGTTTGCGGAGAAGTTTGTGTGAGTACGCGACTTCTAAATACTCGAAATGTCTTGGACGCCTGAGTCTGCGTCCGCGTCTCCGAGTCTCAGGGTTTGAGTGAGTGACGAGTAAGTCGATACTTCTAAATATTCGATACGCGTTGGACGCCGATTCGATATTTTAGTATTTAAACGTCTAAGCAATAGCTTATTTCAGTAAATACGTCTCAGTCCTACCTGAAACATGACATAAAATTGTTCATTGGTAATATGTATTTATTTAAGTTAAAATTATTAGAACTAATATTATAATAATAACATGGGTAAAAACTCGCCTTTAAACAGAATATGTGACTTGTACCACTATACAAATAAGAAAAATAACAATTTCTTGGATGTTTTCTGTAAATCATCAGTTCAATTCAAAGCAAGTTTGAAAATGTGTAATTTTAAAAGAAGCGAATAATAATAATATTTGCACCTCAATTAGATTCCATATGTACAAGTACGTTTGAGACTCCCAATAGCACATAAGGATGCATATTTTTATACATTTTTTTATCATTTCGTTGGTTTCGCCATTTTTTTTTCTCTTTGTAATATTAGATTAAAACTAAAAGTGTCAGTGAAAATGGTAAGATATTGGATTATGTTTTATATAATTTTTTGCATCTAGCTTGTAAGCAAAATTGTGTTATATATAGTATAAGCTGTTATTTGTGTATGTACTAAACTAATACCTTGTAAATGAGAATTGTCATAGGTTGTGCAATGCACTGTATGTGTCCCTATATAAATAAATAAATTAAGGAAAAAAATTTAAAGGACATTTATTATGAGCCGTCAGTAAACTTAAAAAAAAAACCGCTTCGAGTCCCGTTAAAATGACCGCTACATGAAGTAGTATTTAATAAACGACTCCATCTCATCATCAATAACAAATGTAACCAAACCCACACTGAGCTTGTTCTTTTTAAGACTCATGTGTGTGGAAGAGAGAACAGAGTAGGTACTCATTGAATCGCTTTCGTTTGTACTCCTGTTTGTTGGAAGTGCAAGTTTGCCTATAAGATTTGCAGTGGGTCCGCGTGGTGGCAAAAGCTCATTCTCCCTATTCAACTTGATTCGATTGTATACATACGAAGATCTGGAAGTGCCCCAGCGGTGGGGACATTAATAAGTTGATGACGATTACGCAGGTACATATTTTACAATTAACTAGCATTCCGCCAGCGTCTTCGCCCGCACGGTCTAGTTTTCTTACTTGCAAGTCCAGAAATGAGAAAATTCCATATAAACTACATCACTACTTTTTCATTTCACCCCTTGGGGTTTGAATTTCAAAATTCCTTTCTTCGTGTTCACTTACATCTCGCTGCATAATTACATACTTATAATAACTGGTATTAGACGCGATTTTTACACTGACTTGCGCCGACAACGGCGCACCGTGGAAAATGGTAGAACAAGAGCATATCAAAAATACTTTTTACGAATATCATAATTTGTTTGATTTGGTGATTTTATTAGGATCTCAAATAATCGAATTATAATATTCATTAAGTTTTTAAAATTTAATAATTTAAGTTAAAACTACTTATCTAAACTTATCTAAACTTAAAATAATAACTAAACTAAATTAAAAATGTCTCCCAAATCATTGCCTACAGGTAAGGTACCCAGAAGGCTGCGAGCGTTACCTCTTTGAATAGCTAAACTAATTCTTTGGGCGAGGTACAAACCAGCCTTCTGATCACCTGACCTGTCAAAAAGTTTCTTTTTTAACTCTTGATAAAGACGATGGGCTCCAGGGCCCCACGGACCCATCGTTTCGACCCCAAACGGCTCAAATATGTAGGTATTACTTATACCTGAATATTTTCGCCGTTTGAGGCTTTCTGCAGCAGCGGCGGCTACACCCGCCTCAAGACATGTTCGTGGAAGATGAGTTGGCGCCAAAGTATCAACGCAGGTGGCATCCCATACTAGGGGTCGACCCATCCTCCAAGGTACCAAAGACATCCCATCAGGTCTCTTACCGTCGTCGCGAGTCAGCCCGTTCGGTTCTAGAATGGCTGGCACTGACGCCGTAGCAAGAGCTCGACGGATAATATCATTGATACTTGCATGTCGAGAGATACGACCGGCACTTCTGCTACAAGATAAGCCGTGATGACCTAAAGAGTCCACCGTTTCACCGCAAGGGCAAAGATGGGGGAGATTACAGGTTGCCCCCAGGCGAAGACAAACTGAAAGGCGAAAAGTTGTATTATCTAGAAGTGTCCCAACAGTCGATGACGGCAATACTTGTAACCAAAGACCGGATTCCCACTCAGCGACAGCTAAGAGACGAGCATGCTCTGCAGAATTGGCAGACGTGTTTAATAGATTATTCCGTACCAATTTACAGAGCGGCTCGTCCCAATGTTTTTGAGCTGTCATTACTGTTGGAAAATCACTTCCAGATAATATCTCCCAAGCAGTTTTTGCCTCGGCCATATTGGAGATAGCAGCAGCTGAAGATGTTTTAGACAATATTTTTTTATTCAGGTCATAGGTGCTATGGACCGAAGATAAAAATGCTGGAAGGGCAACACTAGAAATTTTGCGTAAACCTAAACCTCCGAAGCGTATAGGAAGAGAAGCCTGGTCCCAAATTTTGTCACTAATATCGATATTAAGTATAGTGGAAACAATTTCTTTTATTGCTTTGTCCATTGAAAGTGTAAGGTTTGTGTGTTTCCAAAAAGGTGCTGAACGTAAAACATAGGTAAATTGAGGAACAAACAGACAATAACGCATAATTGTGAAAGCCATTTGATTATTAATTTTTAGTAAACGATCAGCAACTGACTTAAATTTTATTACTTTTTGTTCAGTGAACTGATTGAAATATTCATCACAAATTGGAGACCCTAAAAGTGAAAGTGACTGTTTACATATAATTTTTATGCCCGGAGCTAGAGCATTAAATTTGGAAATTATGGATTCTTTTTCATTGACTGTACTAGGAATATAGAGCTCGCATTTACTAAAATTTAACTCTAGGCCACAATTTTCTAAATTTTCGATTAGATATTTTAGATCTGAAAAAACTGATTCGGCTTCTCCTCCTAACGTACCATCATCCAGATACCACACATTGAATTTAGAATTTAGATTTGAAATAATTGGATGAATAGCTAAACCAAAAAGTGCCGGCCCGAGTGGGTCACCTTGTTGACATCCTACGGAAGAGGACAAAAGGTGGTTTTTATAAATCAATTTCGAAGGTGATCTATAGCATTGCCATAAGAAATTGTATATAGATGGTGTTTTGTCTTTTATTTGTGTCAACAGGGTGGACCTATCTACCGAGTTGAAAGCATTTTTTACATCTACCTTCAAGACAAGATCTTCTGGTTGAATATCTAAGAATGTTCTAAGAGAATGTATTGCCGCTTCACAACCACATTTTATTCCAAACCCTAGCTGTAAAGGGTCGAAGTAGTTGCTAAGCGTGCTACGAATTGACTTACAACATATTTTAGCAGCAAGACGGCGAAAAGTAGAACCTACCGCGATTGGTCGGATACCACCATCTTTTTTCTTAAGAGCGCAAAGATTCGCACCATAGAGAATATCTACAATCGCGGTATGAACGTTACCTGAGAGCATTAAATTTATAAGTTTAGTTAATTCCTTTAAGAGGCTTTCACCAGCTTCACCATTGTTACCACTTAAGAGATCTTTTAGGTGTTGAGGCGTCAGACCATCTAGTCCACCGGCAGAACCACCTCTAAAGGAATTGACTGCATCCAAAACATCGCGTGATTCTGTCTGTAAAAAAGCATCAGAAGAAATAGGAGGGTCTGGAAATGTAGAATTTGGTCTTGATGGAGGATGTTTGCTTTCAAGGGCTATAAGAGTTTCTGGAATATCTGGTGCGACAATGTCATCGGAAAATAATAGTCGAGATGCGCCTTTGATATCACCTTCACTTATTTTGGTTTCTACGTAATGAAATAACGATTTAGGTTTGTTTCTATTGGGGTAATTTGACGGAAAGTGTATATTTGTCTTCTGACAATTTTCTTTGATAATAGCTGTTAGCGATTTTGGGTTGTTAGTATGATCTGGACAAGCGTGAAGAATTTTGTAAGCAAAGGTGAATAGATGTTCCCAGGCTTCAGGAGTATTTTTCAAATTGACTTTTTTAATTGTTTTTGTCAATTCCTCGGCAACAGCAATACGTGCTCCTCGAGGAATTCTCCTTATGATGGGAATCGAGGACTTCAATTTTGAAATTATTTGCCAAAAAGGTTGTGATAATGTATCAATATCATATGTTTGCCGGATCGGATTATGTGATGATTGATTGTTTGGCTGTGCTAATTCTTTGTGAGACCGTGATAAATGTATTTTCAGACCTCTGGCCCCTTTGAAGTAGCGAGCTTGAGAACATCGTGGGCATTGAACTAAATTTTCCGATGAAATATCAGATACTAGATTACCTTGGTGACCAAAAACTGAATTGCCTGGGGTATTGCCTGCATTGTCTTGACTTAGAGACATATAAAAAAAAACAACAACAACAACTTATATAAAAACACAAACTTAAAACAACACTGTAAAAATCACACTTTGTAAAATTTGTTTATATTGTTTGTTTACAAAAATGACACGTGAGTGAGGGCGAATCAGTTTGTATTGCCGATGGAAAACACCAATCGGGGAGCATCTTTTTGACATTTTGTCTGACATTGGGCTGTTGTCTAGGTGACTGGCATGGCAGTCATCGGTCACAAATGATATGTCTTATTTAGACTCGATACTATCACAAATTCCCAATTATTGCAGTTTATTTGCTTTTTCTGAAAATATGCGCTGAGCGGCGGCGGTTAAAGTTGAACTATTGCACATTAGTTTCTGTTGCCATAATATCGAAATTTCAATTTTTTATCAATTTATTGTGGGGAAATTTGACTGTTTTGTATCGCTGACGGTTTTATGTTTTTTTAAGTTTTTTTATCGAAAATGCACGAAGTTACATTTTTTTCATAGGTAGAAGTACATAGAAGACGGGAGTGCCGAACTCGAGTCTACGCATATACATGTTTCAAAACCATATTGTGCAATATATATTGGGTACATATATGCAGTATTATACTATTTTTGGAAAGGTTATTTCATGCTTATTACGTTACAGCTTCTTAATTTCTAAAGCAGCGACAATTATGTCAGTAAGTAATTAAAAAGTGGCATACCTTATTTTTTACTTTTCTTTTTTTTCGTCTAAGGTTTTCAATATTACCCACGACTCCCCGCGCGCAACTTTTTATGTTAATTGATAGTCTAACTATTCAGTAACAGAATACAAAAAAAAAAACAGCTGCGGAAGTTTGCGGTTTTAGAAAATATAAGAAATAATATGTGAAAAGTCGGAAAATAAAAATCAGTATCTTTTGCGGTTTACCACAGACACCGTTCACAAGGACAATAATTATATTACTTTTGGAATATTTTATTTATTTAGCGATAACAAAGGAATCTTATCAAATTTGCACTCGTTATGCGTGAGAAATTACTAGATAATAAGATAATCCTATTGGACAGCTGTCGGAAGACGCACAAGAGTCTCGCAACAAAGACTACAGAAACATGCGACTTCATCATGCCAAAAAATGTTCCCGGTCTGCAACAAATGAAGATGTCTTTAAAATGCTTTTGTGCACGTCAGATCCATATATAACAAGTTTAAGAAAACCATACTTAAGAAATGTAAAAAATCTTGAAGTAGAGGCAATAAAGTCTTTTAAAAGTGGTACCTGAAAGTGAACGCACGTTTACTGACCCTGATCCTGAAGCAATATAGGTACCTACCAAAATAAAAATAATATTGATATTTAGTTATTAGTAATGTTTGTAACGAGTTATATCAATCTCTGAAGCTACAGGCCTAGTATAGTTTGTTTGTTCAGCAAAAAAATTTTTTTTGTATTTTTTATTAATTGGGTAATTTTGTATTTAACCATAGTTTTAGCCTTTTTAGTCATTAAAACTTGTCTTTCTTTTGGAATTATTTTTTTTACCATTTTATTTTTGTGTTTTCCCCTTTTTTTTACTTCTATGACATATAACATATATATGTATATAGAAAAACACTACAAATTATACATCATTTGAATTTCCAAACCTCACTGAATATTTGTAGCAAATTTCATTGCGGTACTACAAAAAATCATGAAGTTATACATTTTTGATCCGATAACGACCGATTCTGCCCACCGTGCGGCGGGGGTTTACAAAATCGACTGCAGCTGTGGTGGTTCCTATACATATAGGTCAAACCGAGAGATCCATCGAGGAAAGGGTTAAAGAACACATAGCGGCTGTCAAACACTGTCAGTCGAGTAAGTCTGCCATTGCGGAACACCTACTAGAAAGGGGCACAAACAATGTCTAATTTACTGAAAATACGTAGTCAAACCTATAAACACACATACATAATATAGCATGTATACTCTTACAAAATATAGCACACTTGTTAAGAAGCGTATAGATAGGTATTGTGCCATATTCCAACAAAGTTACATACATACAGGTCAAATTGAGAACCTTTTATTTTGGAGTCTTTTAATGACGGTAACCGGTAACGGTTTACACAGGTAAACCGACGGCTTCCCTTTTTGAAGTTGGTTAAAAGATGGTAATCAATTTTAACCCCTTTTACGAGTCTGTTAATTTTCTTCTCTCTCCTTTTATAAGCTTCAAATTTAATTGTTTAGGTATATTTTCAAACAATTTAACCGATTTGGATTAAACTTGTAGTTTACTCTATCCGACGTTTACTTTGCGAGATATCCGTGGACGAACATACATACATCTAAAAAAATTCGCACACGTATTTAAAAGCCTATACAGATCGACATATATGAATATTACACCGTTCCAATGAAATCGCATACATACACCTCGAATTGATAGCCTCCTTTGTTAGAAGTTTTGCACTGATCGTATTCCTAGAGAATTCGAATTGTACAAATCTACATAAAGTCAATAGACATTTTTGCAAATGACACTAAAGGGGAATCATTTGTATCTCAACAGCCGGTGAGACGAGACTATGGCAAACTGCGGTGGAGGTTGGTTGCGGGGCGCGGGGCGCATGGGTGCGGGGCGCATGGGCGCGTGGCGCGCGCACGCGTACGGCGGGCGCGCCGAGCTGCGGCTGGAGGCGGCGCGCGTGCCCCCGCTGCGGGCCCCCGACCACGTGCTCGTGCGCGTGCGGGCGGCCTCACTCAATCCACTCGATGTCGCCATGCTAGGTATCGGTGTCGAGAGCGGCGTGAGCGGTGGTTACAGTGTGGAGGTGTTCGTCGAGTGAGCGATCACCAGTAAAGTACCCGAGGAAGCGGAAGACGTGTGTTTATTGTTTATTATTTCTTCGTCGAATTTCGTCTTTACGTATGTCGTCCGCAGACGGGTACGGCGCTCGCGTGCTGAACACTCTCCGCAAGTTGGAGGGCGGCGAGGGCGGAGAGGGCGTCGAGTTCCCGCTGGTGCCCGGGCGCGACTTCGTGGGCGAGGTGGTGAGGGCGGGGCCCGCGGCCCGCGTGGCGCCGCGCGCGCGCGTGTGGGGCGTGGTGCCGCCGCACCGGCCCGGCGCGCACGCGCACTACGTCCTCGTCAAGGATCGTTGGGTGAGACTCGCGACGCGACTGACGATGGACGGGTCAACAAGACGAAAAAAAGACTCCCGGATCTTTTCCGATCTGTCAGCCGAGCGATCGCCGGACTCAAGCTTCGACTCTTGCCGGACGCTATTTCGTTCAAACGGCGACCGACCGATAAGAAATGATGAATAATGGATTCGATCGCAGTGTTTTTGACTTCGTCCCTTATCCGGAAATGAAACGAAATATCGTCATTTCGTCCGAGACGGTGTATCCTTCGGTCGGAGAGTGGAACGGTCGCACCCCGGATTTCTTCTCGATCATCCGGCGAATTCGCCAGAACTGCCAGAAAAAGACACCGTTCGTTAATCACGTGAGGTTCGAAAGGGGGTTCTTAAAAAAATCACGAAATATCACAAGGGGGAGGGCGGTATAGTGATATATCATGTGGATTTATTTTTCCTGAAAGGTTCAAGTTAAAAATCAAGATTTTTGTAGATACTATAAATACACGAGATTATTTTAGTTTTAAACTTCACCATGTATTACCGAGGGGAGGGAGAGTTATGAAATGCCTAACGAACAACATGTGATTAATGCACGGCTCCAAACGCGGGCGTCTCATCACAGAGGACGATGTTCAGATAGGGCCTGCACCCGTCGCGCTGGACGACGCGCAGGCGGGCGGCGCGCTGTACGCGGCGCTGAGCGCGTGCGCGGTGCTGCGGGCGGCGGGCGTGCGCGGGGGCGGGCGCGGGGGCGGGGGCGGCGCGCGGGGGGCGCGCGTGCTGCTGCTGGGGCTGGGGGGCGTGGGCCACGCCGCGCTGCAGCTGCTGGTGGCCGACGGGGCGGAGGTGACATTCGCATAGTCTATACTATACATGGGTGGGGTATAAGATCTTTTAAGACGGATTCGATGACGTTTTTATCGATTCACTGCATAGAGTGATTCGAGAGGAAGGTTCACGAGGACGATACGAAGCCGCTTCATTAAACTCGGACCCACTTCCGGTTTTGCGGCACGGGATTCCGTTCCGTGGTCCCGTCGATAGCAGAAAATATTCGTCGATTCGTTCACTTCGAGATGGGGCGAGACGCTCGACGAAGTGAACTTTTCAATGTGGAAATTTTAATGCATTTTTTCTTAAAAAAATGTTGATAATAAGTCGTCGAGTGTCGCGCGCAGGTGGTGGTGGGGTGCGCGGGGGAGCAGTGCGCGGGGGCGCGGGGCGCGGGCGCGGCCGTGGCGCTGGACCGGCGCGCCGCCGACTACGGGCGCGCGCTCGCGGACAACGGCCCGTGCGTGCACGTTCTGTGGTTTTCTAGACTCTGAAATGTTTTTTGGCCGATCGAAGAATTAGAAATCGTTCGATGTGTACTTTAAAACGTCGGACTCGACGAACGATCTGGTCGTCAGGTACGAGGCGATAGTGGACTGCGCGGGCCTGGGCGGGGACGAGGCGGGCGCGCGCGCGTGGCGGTTCGGGCGCTACGCGACGCTGTCGTCGCCGCTGCTGCGGCTGACGGACGCGCGCGGGCTGGCGGGGGGCGGGGCCGCCGCCGCCGCCGCGCTGCTGCGCCAGAGCGCCGCCGCCGCCCCCCGCGCCGCCCCCGCCGCCTGCCCGCCGCACGTGCGCTGGGCCTACTTCACGCCGAACGCTGCGGATATCGAGGAGCTCCGCCGACTCGCCGAACGCGGCCGGGTGAGTATGCGCAGGAATCGTCCTCGGTGGAGCGGGAGACCCTCGATCGATCCTCCGAACCGATCGAACTACATGCCGACGTTTATGACTCGAATCTCCCCAGATATGATCGCGGAGGGAGTCGCTTAAACTTGAAACTGGCGATCGGAATAGAAGGTATCGCCCGAGAGAGAGAGAACAGCGCCACCCCCCTCCCCTCGCGGGCCTTTTGCGCAACGGTGGGTGTTAAAGCTTTACAGGCGCAGCCGGGACCGACGGCTCGACGTGCTTTCCGAAAGCTCGACGTGCCTTGCCTACGGAGGAGCTCGAGCTCAAATTTTCGACCACAAAGCCTCCGCCCAGCCTTCGGTCGACGTCCGTGTCGCAGAACGAGCGAGGCGACCGCCGCCCCGTGGAGCTTCTTTACCTTCGAACGAGCGACTCTGCGACCGACCGAACGTTGATGTCGCACGAGTAGGACTATGGCCGGGTGGATGATGTACGTATGTGGGCGGTTGCAGTTTAGCGTGCGGGTGGAGCGCGTGTTCCCGTGGTACGAGGCGGCGACGGCGTACGAGCGGGCGGCGGAGGGGGGCGCGCGCGGGAAACTCGTGCTCGACTTCACCGCCCCCGCCCTTGCCCCCGCCCCCGCCCCCGTCCCCGCCGCCGCTACAGACGCCTGACGTGGGGAGCGCACAAGTAGACACCGACCGCGGTCCACTTTCTGTACATAATAATAAGAATGAATATTTAAATTAATAAATTGATGAAACTAGTTATGTTATTCATTTAAAATTGGCTTCTTCGACACCGAGACCGACGTCCCGACCGTTAAAAAACAATTTTAGTCTTTCATTTTAAAGAACAAACAGTTACACGACAAATGTATTCATAATAAAATACGAATCCTATTAATATTATAAATATGAAAGTTTCTTTGTTTGGATGTTTGTCCGTCAATCACGCCGAAACTGCTGAACGAATTTCGATGACATTTGATATACAGATAGGGTATACAATTATTAGCTGACTTAGATAATAGGATGCCTTTTACCCAACTAAACATTTCCCTATGAATTACGCGGATGAAGCCGCTGGCGAAAGCTAGTAATATTATAAATGCGTATGTAACTCTGTCTATCTGTCTGTTTGCTACGCCCTCGCGTTTAACCCACCGAGATAGAGTTGAAAACACAGGCCACTTTTCATCTCCCAAACAGTTCTCTAAGGACCACGGCTGGCGGAAAGCTAGTACAAAGTATACCTAAAGAGTTATAGTTCTATATGCTACGGTACAGATAGGAAGAACCCGGTATCCTGCAAGGAGAGCCTAGGTCCTACATCATAAAGGGTAGTAAAGGGTAGTAGATGTAGGGATGTATCTTAGTGCCCTCTCGTCCTACATGGCTTCTGCCGCGTGTGGGTGATGTGATCACGAGCAGGGACACAGGTCATTCATTATACGTACGCACTCGGTCTTGCCAGATGGAGCTTGTTCAATGAATTTGTGGTGGTAATTCCGGAAAAATTTGCAATATTTTAGATTTTTGGGGAGATAGAAACTGAATTGTGAAGGCATTGGTTTTTATTATTTCTTATACTGTAAGATGACGAAAATAAAAACCAATAATAGCTAGACGAGATCGAAATACGAATAGTTTGCTACGTTCGAATATATTCAAATGATGATAGCGAGTCAAGAAATTTAAATAAATTTATTGATTTAGATTGCTATCTGAATATTTACTAAAAATATACTTGGAAGAAATCCGTCTCAGTTGCTAGACCGGACTCAAACCGATGATTCCTCGTGAGTTGAACAAGATTTCCGAAACAGTCTCTGTTTTTCTGTGTCGCTTCCTCTCATTATATTGTGTCTTCTTTCTGAATAGAATCAATAACTTATTTCATTAGTGACCAAATTGTACAATAGTCATTCTGAGATAATTTTTAAAATCATTTTGTACATGTACCTAACTTTTTCTTGTGTAATTCCTGATTAGTAGATGCAACATTTTCCTATTTTTAACTTTTTGTTATACCCGATGTTACGGCAAAGGCAACACCGAATTATTGCAACATTGCGAGGGTGCCGTGGTCGGCGTTATGGCCTATGGCCCTAGATGTAAGGTCGTGTAATCGCTGATCGCTATTGGGGGTGGGGGGATTTTCTTTATATTTGATCTCAAACTTCGGTTGTAGAAACCGCACCTTAAGCACGCGCCAGTCATGTGCTAGACTACTCAAATGTATATCAGGACGCGAAGTTTGGCGCGCACGGCCATTGCAAATTTATGGAAAGTTTAAATACACGTTTTTGTGGTTAAGCCGACTCATGGGGTTTTGCAAGTACACACCTAAAAAGAAAACTAATATTACCGGCGGCGTACTAGCACATCTTTGCGACAAATGTGTCCATAAACTATAAAATGTATCGTGAATAGGGGCAGGCTGGCAGCGTGGCTTTTTTATTATGTAAATTATTATGAGACTTTCCAATTAAATGCCTTTCCGACGATTCCACGCCTCAAGTTTGCAGTGCGACCACCTAACTCCCTAGCCATGATTCTCGCCATAGTATGCGACATCTTAGCGACTTTGACATGTCTTTTGATGAATTAATTTAGGTAAAATTAAACCAAATTATTTCATCTATAAGACTATAAGATGTCGTAACTTATGGCTAGAGAGCTAGGCGGTCGCACCCTAGATCACAAATTAAGTAGCTATGGTACTTGTATTATGGACGCGCAAGTCGGGTACGCGAATATTTTGTTCAAATAAAATATAAGCGCACAAAAGACGTTTCAATAAAATCGTTTGAAAGGGAAACTACTAAAAAGAGAGAAGTATTATTTCTCTCTTTTTCAATAAAATCGAAGCACAAAAAGTGGATATCTACACCAACAATTTTTTTCAGTTTTGGGTCAGTTCGGTGTTTGTATTATGTATTAGTAGTAAGTAGTAAGTAAAACAACACTATCAGAAAATCTATTTTCTCTTACCAAACTTGATCATCTATGGCACTGATCTCAAAAAAAAAAAGAATTTCGTGAGCCCAACTGATAGATAGCTCTTATTGCCCTTTTTTGTAAAACAAATATACGAGTAGACTAAACATCGTCTGCCGATTCCACAATATAATGCCATAGGACATGATACTGTGAAAATAACTAAAGTAAACTGTCCGGGCAGTTTCTATATCGGTAATTTGTCTTATTATTCGTATGGCATATGCAGCCGAGCTGAGTTTCCCAGCTAATATAGAAATATGCAGGTTCTATTACAGTTTTGAATCTAGTGTTATGCCCAAAAATTTTGTTGAACTTACTAAATCTAAATGTTCGTTGTTGAGTTTAATTTCAGTTGGTTCTACTTTTACATTAGGTAAAGTGAATTTAATACATTTAGTTTTTTTAGCATTCAATTGAAGATTATTAACTGTGAACCAAGATAACACTCGTGAGAGAGCATTGTTTACATCGTCAAAATTATATTTATTTCTGTCAATGTTAAATATCAATGAAGTGTCTTCTGCAAACAACACGATCTGACATAGGTCTTTAACAAAAAATGGTAAATCATTTATATATATATATATATATATATATAAAATAGAAATGGACCTAAGATAGAACCTTGGGGAACGCTTTTTTTTATATGAGACCCCGACGACTTTAGAAACCCATATAGACCAACATATATGAATATAAGGTACACCATTCCAATGAAATTACGTACATACACCTCGAATTGATAACCGCCTTTTTTAAATCACTTAAAAATATATTTGAAGAGATATCGACTATCTGCCGCCAGTGGCGTAACTATACCGTTTGAGGTCCGTGCCAATTTCATCGGATATTCAATTTTTATTACTAATTGCGTAATAATAAATGTCAGGAATAAGGAGTCTCCTCTGACCGGGGGCCCTTCCAGCTGGGGGCCCGTGGCATTTGCCGACTTGCCACCCTGTTGTTACGCCACTGTCTTCCACACAGTTACAGCACTTAATCAAAGTTAGGTCATTCTAAGTACCTGCTTTGTATGTCACCATATTATACCTAAGTCTTGCAGGGCCGGCGTTATGGAAATCTAAAACACCAAAGATAACATAACACCCACACTAGAGACAATATGAAAAGTTAATTTTCTACATTGACCCGACCAGGAATCATATCTGTTGTTCAACTTGGGAAAAACATATGAGAACAACTTACCAAATGACTTAAAAAACGATCTGTTACCAGAACAGTAGGTTAAGTATGGTCGCAGAGGGCGACTTCTCTCTACCCCCCTGGAGAGGAGTCCCAGCGCGGATTGAGTTTGGGCCCTCCTTGCTGGATACCAGACTCATCCATTCGCGTGAGGTGAACCGCAGCGGGTTTTACCAGGTAGGGCTTTCACTTACTGCCCTTCTCAGTGCGGCCTGTCCTTTTCAGGACAGGGGTGAAGGAGGAGCCCTGGTTTAAGGCTTAAGGTGCATTTCCCCTGCGTTATCAAAAAAAAAAGGTGAAGTATGGTTAGAACTGCGACCCCAATACAAATTTAATTGCTTCATGAATTGGAACTGCTACCATCATAGAAAATGTTTGTTAATCCGGTCAATATAAGTATGTTTAAATACAGACGAAGGTGTCCATTTGTTAAAAGTTAGAAATAAGTAATATGGATCGGTGATAACTTCTATCGTTAAAAAAATGAAGAAATAAAAAAAAAACAATAAAAAATAATAAACCGACTTCAAAAATAAAGAGAAACGACTGAAAAGAGGGAAATAACTTATTTTTTGAAGTCGGTTTTAGTTTTCCTAAAATTGTTTTACTGTACATTTATTACGTCGTATTATTATACGTTTTTGTATCTGTAAATTAATAACATGAAATTATTAAATAGATTATTTTTATACAATAACAATTTTATGTCGCCCTACGGATCACTCGGGATGCTTCCAGGGACAAGTTTCTCACGTTATAAATGTGTTATGTGAAACGCTCAGGCGGCTAAATAATCTTAGATTTAAACCTATAAGTAGTAATATAATGTCTAATATTCAATACAACATTCAACAAAAAAATTAGTGGTATTCTACGGACAAGGTAAATAAATATTAGGAATTATTTATCTTGTACTAGTACGTGCGTATACATTACGGTCTATCAGTTTCATTGAATTAAGGAAATAGCGGAACCATAATGAGCCAGTCAGTATGCGATCTCTACTACGTGCTATCATGCCTACACCAATACCGAGCGCATAGCGTACTTCACTATGACTGAGGCATTGTTCTTATTCAGTTTAAGATTGATTCAACACAAATATTTTTAGACACATTATCACTTCCTTACTATTATGCGTATTTAATAGGTAAATGTATGATGTAAGTCGGTCAGCATAAAGTTTTCATCGTGAATTTCTCTCATTATTATTGGTCCATCCATGCCGTACCCGTGCTGTGGTGTATACTTTCTATGGTGAATTTGTCATACTGGGCTTACTATGCAATACACTATGCATAAAAGCGTGAGTGCGCCGTAGCGGTGGCGAGCTCGTCCATTGGTCGAGTTCACGTGGCCTGATCTCTGCACCATGGCAACGCGCGTCACTCACCCCGCGCCGCCCGCCGTCCGCCGCCCGCCGGCCGCGCCGCGCACGAGATAATAATCCGCGAATGAGTTCGCCG